TTTTCATTTTTAATAAGCTTTATTTAAATATTAATAATAAATTTTGTTTTATTTTCAATATCTGATTTACACTTTTCAATTTCTGATTTTTAATTTGTGCTTTTTGATTTCGATTTACAATTTCCAAATTTACTATATGCCAGAAATAAAATCTGAAAATTTAACTTAAATAATATAAATTATTATATTACGAAAATTTCACTAAAAATTATTATATGTGAATCTATATCAACGACACATGAGTGACACATGGGGAACACCCCCTATGCAATTCAAAATAGCAACTAAAACTCTACTGTTAAAAGGTAATAGATAAGAGTTATGTTTATTTAATAAAGAACAAAGTTTTTTTTTAAGATTTATAAAAGGCATTATAAAAAAAAGTAAAGAAGATTTTAAAAATTTTTTTCTATATATATAAAAATTATTTGATTAATATTTTGATCAAGGTAATTATTAATTGATTAATATCTTGATCAAGGTAATTATTAATTGATTAATATTTCGATTAAGATAATTATTAATTGATTATTATCTTGATTAAAGTATTTATTAATTAATTGATATCTTGATTAAGGTGATTATTAATTTATTTTTATCTTGATTAAAGTGATTATTAATTGATTAATTAAAGGATCAAAGTAATTATTAATTGATTAATTAAATGATTAAGATTAATAATTACCAAATATAAAAAGGGATATAAAAAAGAACATTAAAAATTATGTATTCAAAAAAAGGCTACTGAAAATTTTTAATTAATCTTTTTAACACTTTCAAAAATAATTACCCATTTAATTATTATTATTATTATTATTATTATTATTATTATTATTATTTTAAACTTATTAATGCTATTAAAGAAAATCAACAACTTTGAAAATTCCGTAAAATAAAGATATGATGGATTAGTTTATAATTGGAATTCATTAAACCTATCTTGACTTAACTACTCGCTAAAAATACGGTTCAATCCAATAACCAATTTGCTAAATTTTAATCGCATCTAAATTTACAATTTTCACGTATTATGCTAAATTTAAGACAAAAGAAAATCTATGCATTATAACCGGTGTGACCTCGGTCTCACGGTAAATCAATTTGCGCACACACCATCCTTAAAATATTAAGTGATAAAGCCTATAGAGTTGACAAAAAGGGCACAAGCGCATCACACGCATGAATCAGGCGATGTTTAAATATCAATGTCCATTAAGGGAGTTGTATTAAAGGCTTTCCAAAAATGTAACCTTTTTTTTTTTCTTAAACTGGGCTGGTGAACCGTCAAAAAACTTTTTTTGCATATGATGGATGATAATGGGACTATGTGAGCCGCATACACTTTGGTGAAAAAAAAAAATTTTTTTTTATCTTTTTCTTTTCAGGAGTGACCAACATGCGCATCCCGGCGCAGTGTAGTCTGTCAGCGGACGGATTAATCCTTTTTACTCCACAATAAACGATAAAAAGCATCAAAACTATTGTGAAGAACTTTATTCCGTATTAGTTAAAACGTCGTTACACTGACAGAACATTGATAACAAAGAATACCAGAGATGCGTGCACTCATGCCAATTCCCAGACCATCAAGCATCAGCTGCTCCACCTCATCATCCATCTTGACAATATCAAAATTTCAATTTGTCTCCTGGGAACGGATTAATATACCGCTTGTGTCAAGCTAATTTGAGGTCACAATATGGGGGAAATGTGAAGAGGCTGAGCCGTCCAAAGATGACACGGGAATTGTTGATGATGCCGAACCATAGCACAGAAACGGGGGTGGTATTGATGTTCGATAAAAAAAAAAAAAAAAAAAAAATCAGCGATATAATTATGATGATTGATTTCGTGATTGATAAATAAAGATTCTTATCGTTACAAGATAAATCAATCTAGTGATAAACCTGCATCCATACACGGTTTACAAAGAAATTTTTAATCACATGGAGGCCAGCCTCACATTTTAATTTCATGTTCTTTTCCCTGCATGAAGGTGCTGCGAGGAGAGAGGTCAATTTTCCAAAGGATTAATGAACGATTCAATAATTTGTTGAATTGACGAGCAAGTTTTCCGGTTTCTTTTTTGACTGGTCCCCTTTGACGAAACAAGCAAGTCGAAAAAAAAATGCAGACTTAGTCCATTAATATACATAAATAAATAAATGTCATTTTGTTAATTAGCATAAATGTAATTTTATGGATTCTTTTATTCCAGATATGGCATGTCCTCAATTAAACTTTGGACTCCGTTAATTGACATAGGCTTGAAGCTTATTCATACCAATTACAATATACCAAAACTGGTTTCATCTGCTCGACAGGTTCTCTTTTCGGCCGTATCCACTCGTTCCGCCATTCAAGTAGCTGAGGCAACTTTCGGTTCATAGTTTGATTTTTACAGTTTCGCGCACAATTGGCATAATCACCAAGCATTTATCATCAACTCCTCTTAGTTATCACGGGGCAATCGTAACATCACGGAGGTGACGGGCACTCCTGAAACGAGAAATAAGGTGGGCAGGCAATGAAGAAATCAAAATAATGAATGGTAACGGCGAGAGAATTCGTGGCACGTGAAGTGACGGTGCCTCGGATAATTGAATTTTAAAGGCGTTTGTTCCCCGATGTACTATCGCCTTGACAATGTTATTTCGGCGATTTTCTGCTGGCACACACATATGAGAAACAAAGAAAAACCAAACAGAATTGAACATTGTTTTTGATTGTTGAGCAGACAGGGCCCCGATGATCTTTGCCCACTCCCACAAAGTGAGCATACAAAATCTCCTTTTTTTTTTTTTCTCTTACACCGTAACTTCGTAATCTACATACTGTGTTGCGCGTACCACACATACATCGGTGCTCGTATTGATTGATTAACCTCAAACAAACACACGCAAATGAAATTTCAAAATAAATTAGATGGTTCGGATGATCCCCATACATGAATTTCTCCTTTGTTTGCATGCTAAAAAAAAAAAAAGAAAAGAAAAGAAAAAAAAAAAACATAGCCACGCGATCCACTAAAGCATGAGTTTTTTTTTTTTTTTTTTTTTTACACCGTCACAAGACAATAATGACATAAGCCAGTTGTCATAAGCGCTGTCACAAATATATTATTGACTATCATTGATAGGTGCAGCGGCGAGTGCGCATGAATTTTTCTTGTTTGCTATGAAACAAATTTTCTATGAAGTCTCGTTAATGTAACTTTTTTTTTTTTTTGCGGATCACATTTTCCTTTCTTTTGATAAATGCCATATTTTATTATTTTTTTTTTCAGAAGATCGATTTGATAATCGGTTGCATAATTATTACAATAGCAAGCAATTGTTATAACTCGTTTTTCTCGACGATTAACTCGAAAAAAAAAAAAAAATGGACGAACCGCATTTTATTCGTCCGAGCTAATATGTTGCCAAAACGCGGAAGCCACAATTCTTCATTTGCCAATCTTAATGCACATCAATTATCATTACCCATAGAAAATCAAGATTAGTTATTCGTAATCATAATTCTATTATTTATAATCAAATAAATACGAATAACTGGTGTTTTTTGTTTATTATTGTGATCACAAACATCCGAAATTAGCAGGCGCATATGCATGCGAGCCATAAGCTCGTCATGTGCTCATGTGATCTTTAATACCGGACAAACTCTATGGTTTTTTTATTTGTACCTCCGATTCTTGTGAATGAACTCCGTCTAAATGAACAAACTAAAATTCTAATCTAGCTGATGACTAAATTTACACCTTACTGTTACAAATCTGGGAAAAGGAAATCTATGCATGCATATATATATACAATTAGAGAGATAAAAGGGGAAAAGACATATTGGTTGATGCTATGAGGAGAGGGCGGTAGAGGGGGCTGCGTTTTTTCCTAGAAAGTTATTGAAGGAAATTCTAATTGGAACAAAATCATTGCAATTCTAAATTATTACCATCTTCTTCGAATTCTGGTTCGTTCGGCACAACACCTTGAGGAGAAAAGATGGGTTAGCGTACAATTGAAAACCGTCGGCCCTAATGAGAAGGAGAATTGGTACCTCAAAAGTTTACACTCGCTACTCTTTTTTATATGCATCTTTAGCTTCAAAACTACGTGTCTCTGTTTCAAAAAATCTCTCCATAAAGTTCATCATCCAATTACTATTTAAGATACCTGATGTTTTCATTACATTAACACCGTATCGTGGCCGAACATCCAGGCGAAATGCGAAATGTAAACTATGAGGTACAGCGAAAACGCGTGAAAAAACTTACATGGAAAAAATTTCCCAAGGCGCGCAGCACGATTTATCCAGTCTGTGAAAGAACATGACGAAATAAGGAGGTCGATTTATGGACCATTGGATAATGTCAAAAAATGTGAAGTGGATCTCATCTTACTTGGTGCTGGCTTTCCAACCAACCTTCTACACAGCTCGCTGGAAAAGTGATTGCAATTTCTGATCGAGAAATAAACAAACAAGGTAACTCGTCATGTCGTTGAAAATCTCCCTCAATGGATGTTTCCCACGTACCTGGTCAATAAATTGTAGCTGTTTCCGCTCCATTCGTTCGACAATTCATCGATGATGTTCTTGATCTCCTCTTTATCATTTGAGGTGTATCCCATCAAAAATGATTCTCTTTTTTTTAAAAAAAAAAAAAATAATAATAATAAGAAACAAAAGAAAAAGTTGATTACGTGAAATAAATGCGTGGGTCAAAGAATGATCTTCGGATGTCGTTGCACATCAAGCGACGCTACTGTGACGCACGACTCACTTGAATGTAACGTTGGGTGGACCAACTTTCGGTCTCAGAGGAAAGACCCCACTCGAGTCATAGTCATGGCCTCCAAAGTTGTACTCTATTTTGCAATCGATAATTTATCACCCTGGTCAATTCATCCAGCATGTCATGCGTCAGCGCTTTACCTTTTCCCAGTACCTCAACTCCGGAATGAAACACTCCTTGGGAAGAAGAAGAGTGAGGGCGTTAGTCAACTCTGATTTGAAATTTCAAGCGAGGCATTGAACAATCGTTGGACAATTGTCACTAACCAATTCCAATCATATATCCAAAATCCGTAATTTTTCCTGATGGAAGCTTGATGAAAGTATAACAGGTGAAGTGATTTGTAAAAGTGACGCGACAGTGAACCTTCACCCTCGGAACGGGTACCTACCATGTCATACACGTTGAGGTATACCTTTTTTTTTCGAGGAGAGGGAGATAAGCATCGAGGGTGAATGGTGAATAAAAAAAAAAAAAGAAATTCCCTTTGCATAGATTGCAAAGACATCCGCGGAGCTTAGATCGCTAACAGAAGAGAAAGAAAAAGTACCGGAATCTGTTCGCTGCACAGGGGAACTTCTTCCTTTCTGGAACTCATATTTCTTTGATGCTGTTGGAGTTGTTCGAGGAAAGACGGTTTTTCAGATTGCAAAGGTAACGACGGAGACAATTGATTAGTTTAGGAATATAAGGGAATCATGTGATGTCGTCGCCGATTGTTGCTGTTTTCAGCACATATACCTTTTATTTAGAGTTGCCGTTCACGTGGAAGATAAAAAAGGAAGATGTGTTATTTTTAATTATTTTGATAGTTTCAATTATAGCTTCTTGTTGAAGAGAAAGGGATCATGAAACGTTAGAAATTTATTTCTAATAAACTCCTCTGGACACAGATGACAAGGAACTCATTGGTCTTTTTAGAATGCATAGTGATTGTTGGTAAACAATAATAATATGTGACGAATTGAAACGTGACGAGCGTTCATCCTAATTAGCGGGGACGCATGGTGGACATAAATGTGCTGACCCAACTTTCACGGTGAGGAACCAAGGAAAGGTCAACGAAGGAAAAAAAATGAAAAAAAAAAAAAAAATTGAAAAATGAAAAAAAGGATGGGAGGGATGAAGAATTTTATTTGGTATAAGGGAATCCGGAATTTGAGGGAGTGAAGGTGTGATCACGAGGAGAGCGGAAGCCTTTAAACAAAGACGTAAGAGTCGAATCTCAAATTATCGGTCCTCGACATTAAATAAATTCCGTCACGTTACATATTTTTAAGCGAACGAGGTATTCTTTTTGACACTGAATACATACCATCAATGGTGTTCGCCCTTTGTCGGTGATTTCTTTAGTGACGCTTTTTTCCAAGACGTGACCATTATTATAATTCTTATTATTATCACAATTACCATTAATATACAAATAATGGCGAGCGACCTCTCTCCCTCTCTCTCTATTTTTTTTTCTCATTTCTCTCATTTCCTTTTTCCATTCTCATCCCTTGAGGCTCCGGGAGTATGACGGAAAAAAAAAAAGAACTGTCCGTGACCTCTCCAAGACTCCACTTCGTTACTTCGAAATCGAAACAATAAGACCATAATTTATTTTATTCCATTTTTTTTTTTTTTTTTCCAAAAAATTCTTACGACGGTGTCACCCTCTTCTTTATGAATCTCACGAGTTATCTATTGACAGTCTCTCTAAAAGCGAAAAAAGGGCGAATAGAAAATAATAAATATATCCATACACATATTACAGTATACACACACACACCTATTCTAATTTTACATGCATACGATATCGGTTCTATTATTGGTTATTTATTGTAGGCAACTCTTTGTTTATACTAAATAAAAAAAAAAAAATCGATTCACAATCGTTTTGGATTGAACAAAAAAAAAAAAAAAAAAAAAAAAAAAAAAAAAAAAAAAAAAAAATTTTTTTTTTTTAAAGATTTTTTTTTTTTTTTTTTTTTTTTTTTTTTTTTTTTTTTTTTTTTTTTTTTTTTTTTTTTTTTTTTTTT